AATGGTTTTTATTATAAAATAAAAAGAATAATTACAATGTAACAGTTTACATTTTATATATTTTTAATAAAAGAGGGGCAAACCACGTAAGTAAAAAAATATCAAGTACTGATTATGAGTTTTGATTTGAAATATTCTCACATTGGTAAAAATATGGGAAAGAAAATACTCCGATGTATTGTTTTAATATTATCAAAGTGGCAAGGCCGTTGATAATACTAACAATTTATGAAACTTCAAAAAATTTTATTATCCGTCAAAAGTTGTTTATTGAAACTACCTTCTTTTTTGTATCATGGCGCCAACTAGTTTTTACTTCTAGAAATGTTCCTGGCGAACATTGAACGTTCACATTCCTTATTTCTTCTATGGAGGCAACATGAATTTCAGTTTGTTTACAAATAAAACATAAACAAACTCAGCTGGTGTGTCTTCTTCTTCCGGTTTTTGCAAGTAATGGCTAATTTCCTGTTCGTTTACTTTTTTGCTTTTTCTTCTCTTTGGGAGAGAATTTTCGCTTACTCTCTTGATTTTGATTTTTGGCTGGTGTTGGCTAATTTTGTTATCGAACGCAACTCTTGTCAAAAGCAATGGAATGCAAGATGCATACAATCAGCTGATTTTTGTTTTGATCTGATAACTGCGTTTGAGCATTTTAAATAAGTGAAAGAATTTTTTAATTACAAAATACCTAGATTTGATTGCTCTTAGAAAATGTTGCTTAGGCATTTAATAGGTTCCGCTAAAAGTAAAGTGTATAAAACAAACCAAACTAAAAGTATAAGACGTAGCTCAATACGTGCTATGAGCTATGTACAGGGCCAGGAACCAGAGCCAAAAATACGTGAATATTTCTATTTTATAGATCACGAGGGAATGGTAAGTATCTAATTAGTTTAAGATTGTAAATTACTGTGAATATTAATAGCGGTAAAATTTGAAATCCTTTCAGCTTTTCTTGGACGATGCTAAAATGAAAAACTTTACCTCGTGCTTCAAGGAAAAGAAATTTCTCAAGTTTTTCTTTAGTCGTATTAAATTGAACGACACAAACCGCTATCGAGGGGACTTTCCGTATCTATCACTATGCGGACGCGAAAGAAATTTTATACGCTGCGATGATACACCAATTGTTTTTACACACGTGTTGCAAGACGAGAATGGTAATTAGAATCAGTACAACTGTGTGTATTGTCTGTTGTAAACCCCTCTCAAAAATCTCTTTTTCCATTAAAGGCAATGAACGGTTATCGTATGCACATGGTGGAGAACAGCTTACCACCGACTTTCTTCCACAAAAAATTTATATGAACCCAGAGACAGGTCGCGTTTATCATCCAGCCTGGTCCAAAGTAGGTGGCATTGGTCTGATACGCTCAAAACTAGCTATTGAGCTGAGTCGTAACTTCGAATTTATGAACAATGTGGAAGAAGCGCCAACACATTTTACGTGGCGTGGCCACCGCTTACAATTGGAAAATGATTGGGTCGCGCATACGCAGCGCTATGGAATGTTTAAACAAGAAGCATGCAGTTAAAGTCATAAATTTAAAAATCAGGTAAATTTTTAATTATTTTAAAAATTTTAAGAATATTTTGTGTAATAAAACTAAATACGAACAATGCAGTAAACTAAGCTTATTTGTAACATTTTCTATATATGTAACTACTGCGTACATATGCCTAGTTTCATTAATCCACGCTAAGCGGTTTGAATTCACCTTCCTTAACCCATGAAAGTCCATTTGTTGGCACGGCTGGACTTTCAGGTGCCTCCTTGCCTGCAAAAATGCGATCTCGTACGGGCCCATGTACATCGGCATCGAACTTCTCGAATACTATATAATGCGGATCTTCAGTAGGTGGTTCATCGTAGATACGATCTTTGCTAGCTGTAGCACAGTCCTTGGCACGCGCTATGAATTCAGCACGATTTTGTGTAAGCAACTCTGCAGCTTCGGCATTGTTATATTTGACGCCAGTAGCGGCGAGGCGTGTACAATCAATAGGATCTACAAATATAGCTTGAATATATTTAAGCACTTGCCAGATGTGATCTTCGCCGCTGCGCCAATAAGGAAAAGCGCACGAAATATCTAAGGAGCCAGTGTAGGGGCAAATTAGTGGATGTGTAATTTCATTTTGGAAAATGATTGTCTAAAAATTTACAAAGAAATACCGTAAATTTTTAAATTCATACGTAGTGGATTATGTGTTTTCTTACAGGCAGAGTTTTGTCATCAGGAAATTTATCTGGCAAGAGTATTGTGAAGCGAAATACTGCATCTACGTAAAATCCTTGACGAACAAAGATCACGCCAAACCACACTGCGTTTATTGAAAAAAGTTTAGTTACATCTATAAATATATGCATGTGCATATAAGCAACAATAAAAAACTTACATAGCGAGTTTCCATATGAGGGTATAACATAAACCCCGCCTATTTTTTCCGACTCAATCATTTTGCTATAAAGATTAGACTTAGCAGTTATGAGATGGCTGTAAGTATGTATGTGGACCGAATATTTGAACTTACTATTCTGCAAGTATTTTATATTCCTGTTGTATGGTGGTTAGCAGTTTATCATCTTCCTTATGTGCGTCCAGTGTCATCTTTAAGGAATATTTTGGTGAAAATGGCTGATAATTGTGATGAACTAAAGTGCAATAAAAAATAAATAAACTTTAACAACTGTCAGTAGCGGTAGGGATGGCAAAAAAGTCAAATAATCGATTAATTAATCATATGATTAATCACAAGCAAAAAAATTTAATTGCAATTATTGAGAAATAATCGATTGCTGTAAATAAAATAAAACGAGGGTAATTCTCTAGGGTGGGGTAACCACCCCTAAAAAAGGTGCGGAAAAGTCGGGAGGGGTACCAAACGACGCGTTTCGGCCCCCCTAATAACAATCCGGAGGGGGGAGATAATATTATTAACCATTTAAAAGTTATGAACAAAAAACTTTTGTTAAATTTCGTTGTTTTCTATGGGCAATTACACCTACAAAGATTCACTAAATCACCTGTTCTCACTTTTTAAACACTATTAAAATATATAATTTAACTTATTTATTAAAGAAACACATAGTTTTATCAACCTAAGATAGATTATTTTGTTATTAAAAAGAAGTTGACAATCTTTGCGAGCCGAAACGCGAGATTCCAAAATAGCTATAGTGCTGCCACTGTATTAGTTTTTCGTAATAATTCAATTTTCCTTATGAGATGTGTGCACTGTTCAATGCTTTTCGGTATCTTCTTTCGCGATTTTTTATTAAAAATTTTCGCCTGCGGCGCTTTTCCCATAAAAATCAATACTTCGATAAATAATGAAAATTTTTAATAAAAAATCGCGCGATTTTTTATTAAAAATTTTCGCCTGCGGCGCTTTTTCCATAGAAATCAATACTTCGATAAATAATAAAAATTTTTAATAAAAAATCGCGCGATTTTTTATTAAAAATTTTCGCCTGCGGCGCTTTTTCCATAGAAATCAATACTTCGATAAATAATGAAAATTTTTAATAAAAAATCGCGCGATTTTTTATTAAAAATTTTCGCCTGCGGCGCTTTTTCTATAAAAATTAATACTTCGATAAATAATGAAAATTTTTAATAAAAAATCGAGCGATGGTATAGCGAAATTTGCTATTATATTTTGGTTACAATATCTTATTTAGATGAAAGTAAAAAGAAGAAGAAGAAGAAGTGTATAGTGTATAGTGTAAACTGAGTATAATAGCGCAAATGAAATCTGAAATAAAGTGGCAATACCAGCGATTTGAGGTTATAATAATTTTAGCAGGCGCAAAGTTTGTTTACTCTGTTTTATTAACGAAATATATAAAATAAAAGTGAATAAATGATTTGGTTTGCATAAAATAATAACCAGAAACGTTTTAGTAGTGTTTTAAAAGTGGAAACTGGTGATTTAGTGCATTTTTGACGTGGTAATTGCTCATAGAAAACAACGAAATTTAACAAAAGTTTTTTGTTCATAACTTTTAAATGGTTAATAATATTATCTCCCCCCTCCGGATTGTTATTAGGGGGGCCGAAACGCGTCGTTTGGTACCCCTCCCGACTTTTCCGCACCTTTTTTAGGGGTTGTTACCCCACCCTAGAGAATTACCAAAACGAGTATTTTTAGCGACGATAATTATTTATTTAACCAAGTGTGCAAAAACAAAATCTTTGATAAATGTTTTGTTGTTAATCGGCTGCGTTTCTCGGTGGCTGTAGCACCATACATATTATTTAAGTTCGCAAGAACTTCATTACTGAGGCCAATGCCAACGGATCTTTGTAATCAAATTTTTCGAACCTCGGGTCGAGTAAAGTTGATGTAGCTTAAAAAAAAGAATTTTTCGATGGCTGGACTTCAGACAATTCTTATTTCTTGAAAATGTTTTAACGATTATTTTGCAATTAATCGATTAATAATCGATTAATGAAGCAAAACTACGATACAACTCAATCCTAAATTGAACAAAAATGATCGATTAATTTAATAATTATTAATGTTGTCGCTGCCATCCCTAAGTGGCGGTGCTGCCAGTTGAGTAGTAAGCGAGTTATTTTTACCTGCATTGTTATAAAAATGTGGTTAGTCAGTTACTAGCTTTAAATTTAATAACTATTAAATTAGTTATGATAAAATAATTAGAGTTTTTGAATCAAACCCTTTTATTTAAGTTTTAATGAACTCTGCGAATTAAAAAAATTGGGCCACTTAAACACAGCTCATTCGAACGTCAAAGTAATCACATGTTAACAAAAACAAAAAGAAAACATAAAAACAAACTGTGTTTTGTTCATAAAATACATAGCCAAAAAAGGTGAACGGAGCAGGTAAATTTGCATATTTTGAAAATTTGCTAACTTAATTAGTAAACTTAATTAGGTTTCCATCTTTTCTAGGCAATGTTTATAACAAAAAGGGCCTGCAAACGGTACATATACATAAAACTACCAATAAATTTATGAATGCTGAAACTGGAATTGAAGGCCAACAAAAAACAAAGCACTATTTTTGTCAATCAGCAGACGACGTTAAGATAGCATTAGTGACACATTTGCTATTTGCTAATTCGCAGATTAACACTCGTCATACAACCTGTCTCTGCTGAACAAACAAAAAAAAAAAGAGTGCATCAGCATAGTAAGCATTAATAGGGCTTAAGTGAGTAATACATATGTAGTTTGAATTGCAATAACTAAAGGCAATATAATTAACGCTTTTAGCTATGAGCGCATCGATCATTGCCAATTTGTGCGTATACATTCTTACTTGGAATGTGGGAACACATCATCCGGATGATGTTTCCATGACCAATGCGTTATCCTTAAATGGAACCACTGCATGCCCGGAACAGCGATTGCCGGATATCTATGTTGTGGCATTGCAGGAGGTTAGCACTCATGCCAAAAATCAATTCCTCAACATATTCCATGATGATCCGTGGACATTTAAAATAAGTGAGCACCTCAGTCCCCACGATTACATCAAAGTGGGGACGGAGCAGCTGCAGGGAATACTTATTATGTTGTTTTCACAGCCCAAACATGAGCCCCACATGAAGGATGTGGAAGTGCAAAATACGCGCACAGGTTTGGGCGGCTTATGGGGCAATAAAGGTGCTGTAAGTATTCGGATGAGTCTTTATGGTACCGGTGTGACATTCGTTGGCACACATTTAGCTGCACATGACAACAAGTTGAGTGAACGCATTGAAGACTACAATCAAATTGTGAATAATCATCACTATAAAACACCGAAATATCGGAGCATCTTCGATCACGATTATGTTTTTTGGTTTGGTGATCTTAATTTCCGTTTAACCGGTACTGACTCTGCATGGGATGTGCGCTCATTAGTAGAACATGGGAAGTTGGATGAGTTGTTGGAACGCGATCAACTATCATTAGTGCGATCAACAGGCAATGCATTTGCACTACTCACCGAAGAATTGCCTACTTTCCCACCCACTTTCAAATTCATCGAAGGCACATCCGAATATGATTTAAAACGGCGCCCAGCATGGTGTGATCGCATCTTACATCGTGTGCAAGAGAATCGATATCCAGATATTATATTGAATATTACACAGCTATCTTACAAATCACATCCGGATTACACGCTTTCCGATCACAAACCCGTCTCAGCCGAATTTCTCTACAAAATAGAGGCACAAACGCAAACAGATGAAGAGTTGTATGAGCTAACGCATGGTGGTGGCAGTACCGAAACACCTTTAGCTAGTGTAACTATCTTACTTGTTACAGCTTTTTTTATATTGTACTAAGCAAACGGAACGATACTTGTTTGTTATAATTTTTTCTTGTTTACAGCCCGATAGCGAAAATGCTCGTCTTGCGCCAATATATTAAAACAAAAGAAAAGCGTTTACAAAACAAGAATCTTAGGCAACAAGTTTGATAAGCAGAAAACATGTGCTTGGTAGCGTGATAAGTGTCGAAAGTGCCCTGCAAATTAAACGTATTTAAGCAAATTCTGTATTTTATCTCAAATTTGGTTGTATTAAATTTAAAACGTCCAATTAATGTTTTTGTAGAATATTTTTGCATATTAACATTACCTGAATCTCACTTTGAACAGAGATGTCTTATTTGATATTTCGTTCTTAACACGTCTTTCAATTTTATATTTAATTATGGCATATAAATTGTTATAAAATTATGTTGATTACTTTCAAAGTTACCAATTTTGCACTTTTCAATGATAGCAATACTAACCGTACCTCCAAAGTGATACATATTACAATGTAGCATAATATATTCAAAAAAGTTTACATTACTCGAATAAAACTAAAAAAAGATAATTCTTTATAAATAAGACGACTATATACTCTTGAAACTGTACATCCTATGTGCATACATATATGTATAATATACATATATAAATTTCCTTGCATATGCTGTTAATTTTTAGAAACTAATGCCGCAAAACTAATGCAAAAATGCTTTATTAAACGAAAAATTATATGAAAGTGTCACTTTATAAAGCTTTTTCTCATGTATGTACATACATAGGTTTTAAAATTTATTTGCCCTTTAAGCACAAACTTCGTTTTGAAAACATGTGTTTTAAGGGCAGCTAAATTTTGAAAACTACATGAGAAAACGGCACTAAATCTATTAAATTTGTATAAATAAGGCCATAATATAGGAAAATCTTATTGTGCTCCTGAAATGCTCAGATTTCGAAAAGGTTGGAATTAAAGTAGTATTTTGTTTTTGTATTATACAAACATAAATCTGTAAAAATTGCCTTTAGAAAAAAAATGTTCACATATCAAAAATCGGCCAAATGCAAATTCTCGTAATGATCATAGTTGTAGTATACATACATATAAAACGGCGACTTAGCGCATTTTTTGTATACATTCATACATACCATGTACACTCAGTTATATTGCGAATGTTATGTGCAATTAAATATGTACATATATTTGTAATAAAAATAATAAAAAAGACATAACCGAGAGAAAAATCAGCATCTTTTACAATTTATGGTACTAAACTTTTCGGTAATCATTGCAGATCGAGCTCTCTGGAATACAGGGAATACATATACTAAACCTAATGGGAATATGGGAAAAACTGGGGGTGGCATAGTTGAGCCGCACTTTCAGAAAAATAGATACAAATGGACAACTTAACTTCCCCACCATCTTTCAAGCGGAAATTCATGCAATAGAAATTTGCCTATAATGCCATAGAAATATATCCGTTTTATGTCGGACAGTCAAGCAGCTCTGCTGGCGCTGAAGTCCCACATAACATCTTCAAGTACTAGGCCTGATTGCTCAGTGTTCTAAAAGCTCTTGGAATCAAGAACACGGTTTTACGGGGATGGTTACCGGGTCATCAACGTACTGATCTCAATGAAGAGACGTGCTGCCTAGCTAGAGGTAGCATTTCATGGTCCAAAGCCCTTGTATGGACCAACAGCACCAAACAGGACCAAAGCAGACATACATAAAGGGGATCATAAATAACTGGGTAGATAAAATGTTCAACATTCATTGGCTGGAATGTCCTAGGCAGAGACAAGCCAAACGATTTATCTGCACTCCAAATTCTTAATTTATGGCCTCAATATTTTCGCTGGCTACTATACGTGACACTGCTCTCGATCAGTGATAGCATTTTCGCATAACAATCTAACTACGATGGAATCAGTGAATAGGCGCTGAATAATACCAATAGTTTATGCTACTGAAAAATTGCCCTAAAATGTTTTTACCGTTACAATTGGAACTAAATGATGACTGATCTGTTGCAGTTAATTTAGAGCTAACTATCATTTAGATATAAGCTAAAAAACATTGTACTTAAACTAAATTTTTCTTTGTAAGGCGAGCCGAAGGTGTTACAACACTAGTGTTTCTTAAATCATAGTAAAGTCGTGATTCATTCACTTCTTTTCTCATAATAAATAAATAAATTATTTGCCTATAGTTGGTAAGTGCTCTGCTTGCCGTTGTTATAACATTGGCCAAAAAATATTTTCCCCAAATGTTGTAGTTCTATAGCCCGCTTTTGCTTGTTTTTTTTTTTTGTAGTACATATGTATAGTTCTCTTATAAAAATTAACAAGCATTTTAAGTAAATTGCTGACAATGGACTCATTTCCCTTTTAAATGTCGAATTTGTAAACTCCCTTTCTTTGTTATCAACAAATAAGGTCAATGTTTAATCCCTTAGTTACAAAAAAAAAGAAAATAACAACATATAGCCGAAAAGTACCCATAATTAAATTTTTGTTCCATGCATGAAGTTAGGTCGCTGATAAGATAGTACTTACGATTATGTGCGTGATTCACCAATCTTACAATCTAATTGCGGTTGTTCACACTTGCCTGGTTATCAGGTTATGTGATTATATGGTTATATTTTTTATTCAGTTTACAACAATAAAATACACAACACAATAATAATTTTTAACCAAATAACCGGCAAGTGTGAACAACCTCATTATAAATCAATCGACTCTTCGATCAATGTATGGTCGCTATTAGTCTGTTCCAATAGTAGTCCGGTTTACAGGATTTAGTCAGAACTTACAGAAAGTCGTTCCTATTGACATAAAACCTGTAATGTACGTACATATATGCATTTTTATAACGTATTTTCACGAGCACTGTGTATTTAAAAAATTAAGGCAGGAAAAAAGTATTAATGCAGTATTTTGAAAAAAAACCTCAGTATCCATTTTTGGAATTAATAAAAAAGTATTACACTGCCAAACGAATATGCTAGAGAAACTGTTTTCAACTAATATTTTTTATGAGTATTATGTATTTTCCGCTAACACCGTGCGACCGAAACTTTTACACACAAAAAAAATCAATATATTCGTAAAACTAGGGGCCAAGGACGATTAAGTATTGAAAATGTCCTTTTAAAATTTCCTCCTTGAAAATACTTGAAAATTTGCAATATTTATTTTTGAAAAAATTACATGCTAGATAATGACTAATACATACACGACCACATCCTCGAATTTCGTTCTTCTAACTTTATTAGCTTAGAAAAAAAAAATTTACATAAAGGGTTTTTGTTGCAATACCTATTTGTACAAATATTTTATTTATTTTTTTTTCAAATTACATAATTTTATATTTCATTTGGTACCCATATTGTTGAGTTTTTTAAATAATTTTTCTAATTAATCATATTCGTGAAATTTTGTAAGTCCTTGGCAATGTTTTGTGTTATGAATAACCCAAAACCCCTAAATTTAGCTGGAACATTTTCTAAAATTATGCAACATTTATCTATAAATCGTCTTAACGTAGGTATGTATGTGTACTTTACTTAAAACTTGTGCACATATTTATGTAGTTCTGCCTGCGCTGCCCATGCCTGATCCAAATTAATCGGCCCTATGCGGAATATCGTCATCGTCGACGATCTTCAGCGCATCAGTAACATGGCTGACGATGGCCGTATCGTCACTTTTACTGACGATGACGATAGTCAGCATAGGGCCGAATATGTGCATATCTATTAACGGAGCATTCATCTACTTAGTGTGATTTACCTTTCTTTTGGCTATTGTTATTATAGCAAAATACTATAGTATATGTAGCTGTAGCTACTTACATGTACACACATAGATGCGTATGTACGTATTTAGGTATATACTATTGTACATACTAATTCCAAGAGCTTATGTCGTTGAATTTTTTATTATTATTTTTTTTTACTGACTAAACTCCGACTACGTGTACCTTGTGAAGGCTTCGGGGATCCACCGAGACAAGCATTAGTTATAAAAAGTTTGACATCTAATCAATATAACTTTTTTGATAAAAAAGGTATATAATGACTAACATAATGATAAGGTTTAAGGATACGCATAATGATACAGTTTTGACTATTTATTTATTTATCTTTTTAAATTAATTTTGATATTTTTTTATAAAATTATTTTTTATTCTTAACCAAACCCAGATAAATCAAACTTCACACTTTTTGCATAACTTAGAAAAATGCACTAAAAATAGCACCCATTTTATTCAGAATTTCTAGAAAAAATTTGGGTATTCTGTTCTGTAACCCATTCAATTCCAGTATAATTAAATACGAGTTTGAAGTGCCTACGAAATACCTTTGATTTTTGGCAATTTTTTGGTTGATGGTGTTTCGCAACAAGTTTCCAAAAAAACAACGGTAATTGTAGTCATTTGCACTTTATCATACTAGAATTAAATGGGCTACAAAACTAAATAACAATTTTTTCTCAAAATTCTGAATGAAAAATTAAGTAAATTTGACGAATTTTGCAAAATTTTGCAGAGAGTTTGAAACTTGGACTAACATGGTTTTTGTTACAGAATGAGCTTTATTAAAAAAAAAATTAAAAAAAATTTGAAAAATAATAGTCAAATGTATGTATGTATTCATTTCTACATTTGTGTACATTTAATTAACATGAAATGGTATTATAACTTTGGCTTGATGTTTGTAAGAAGAAGGGATAGACCTATAAGAAAAAATATGGAATTGGTTTGGTTTGTCTGCCTGTCTATCTCTCTCCATTTGAATTTTGTGAATTAAGCAACGATATGTAAACTCAAAACTTTAGAGAAGTTTATCCCGAGTTTTGCTGTTTGGATTTATGACACTATTAAAATAAATGAGCGATATGTACTTATATAATTATTATTTTACGAAATTTTCAAATACATACATAAATGTACATTTGAACAAAAAAAAAATTATTTAGAAACCAATTTTTGACATGGATTCTATGTGGTTATTAACCGAATTCACAAAAAGGAGAAGGTTATAAATTCATCGGAATATTTTTTTTATGTACATATCGAGCCCTAACGGCCAAAATAACGTAAGCGACATTTTTTTTCAAAATTTTCTTTTGGATGCAGAAATATTCCTATAGCATCTAGATGCATTTCTGCATCAAAAAGAAATTTTTGAAAACAATGTCGCTTACGTTATTTTGGCGGTTAGGGCTCGATATGTTACCGCATAACTAGTCCGTTAACCGATTTCTATAATTCTTTTTTTAAATGAAAGGTGTTACCTCACAGGTGGTCCCACAGGTGGAAGAGAATGAGAATTGAAGTCGGTTTTGTTTTTTTGCTTAAAAATTACTAGTTTTTCAGTACAATTTTTTTTCTCGAAGTTTTTATGCCAAATCTTTAAAAATACGTTATTATTGTTGGTTTCTCATTATTCCTCATCATCCCTAATAGGTACATATAGTTTTAGAAAGAAGTCATATGTCTAATACATA